TGAGTGTGACCTCATTTGGAAAATGTCTATGCAGATGTAATTAATCTAACTAAGATGGAGATGGAATCATCCTGTATTACCTAAATCCAATGGCAAGTGTCCTTATAAGACCTACCCAGAGGCAAGAAGTGGAGGCAGAGATTGGAGTTGAAGTTATACAAACATAAGCCAAGGAAACTCCTAGAGCCAGCAGGAGCTGAAAGAGGCAGGAAGGACTCTCCCCTAAAGGGTTCTGAGGGAGCTTGGTTCTGCCAACACCTTGATTTTAGATTTCTGGCCTCCAAAACTGTGAAAGAAAAAAAAAACTACATTTCTTTTTTTTTTTTTTAAGCCTCCGAATTTATACTAACTCCAGCCACAGAAAACCAACACTGTGTTTAACCACTGACAGTTGTACGTACACCACATCTGTGTTTTAGTTTGATTTGTTCCAGTGGGCAACTTTAGGTTTAGGATTAAAGTTGAATTTTAGTGCATATTCATAATACAGAATAATGAGATTCACATATGCATATAACATACCTTGATTATTTTCATCTCTATTACTTCCCACTCCCTTCCCTTTCTCCTTCCCTGATCCCATTCCTCATCTCTAAAAGTCTGCCTTCTAAGACAACCTACAGAATGAAAGAAAACTTTACCAGCTACTCTTCTGGCAAAGGATTAACATCTAGAAGATATAAAGAACTCAAAAAAACACCAAAACTTAAATACATCCATCAGTAAGTGGGCAAATTAATTGAGCATATACTTCTCAAAAGATGTATGAATGGCAAGAAGTATAGGAAAAATGTTCAACATCTTTAGCCTTAGGGGAATGCAAATTAAAATTACATTGATTGCATCTCACTCCAGTCAAAATGGTTATAATCAAAAATACAAAAACAATAATTGCTGGCCAGGATATAAGCAAAAAGGAACCCTTCTACGCTGCTTATAGTATGTCTCCTACTGAAATCAGTGTGAAGATTCCTCAAAAAAACTAAAAATAGAACTATCATTTGATCCAGGTATACTCCTTTTACATACCTGAAGAAATTAAAGCTAGCATACCTTAAGGGTACTTTCAGACCCATGTTTATTGTACCACAAGTCACAATAGCCAGGATATGGAACCCTAGGTGCCCATCAACAGATAAGTGGATAAATAAAATGTTGTATATAACACAACAGAGTATTATTCAGCTGTAATGAAGAACAAAATTATGTTATTTGCAGGAAAATGGACAATATTAGAAATCAATGTTAAGTTAAATAAATCAGATTCAGAAAGACAAATATCATGTGTTCTTCCTAATATGTGAAATCTAAAAAAAATGAATGTACCAAGGAAACTATTACTAGACAACAAGGGAATAAAGTGGGAAGGGTGTAAGAGTCGCTTAATAAGAAGGATGGATGTGATCATCGTACATGCATTGAAACCCTTCCCAAAAGGTAAAACAAGTGCGTAGGCAGGGCAAGGAGGTGATGGAGCGGGGATGAAAATGATTAATGTTCTGTACAAATACGCCAAAATGAAACCTATAAATCTGAACCAATAAAAAAGTGAAGAAAAAATAATAATCAAATAAAAAAGAAAAAAAACTTCACCTTCTAGTTTCCTGTCATCTTTCCTTTTTTGTTATTTCATTTTTGTTTTTAGATTGCTCAGATAAGAAAAAAGCATAAGATATTAAACTCTGAGTCTGAACATTGGATTTTTGTTAGGGTTAAACTAGAAATAATGAGCATTATGGATGAGAGTATGGACTGAGAAAGATGGTTTCTGAAAAAATATTGTTTCAAGTGTCCAGAGAGTGAGGCTGTTTTGGAGCAAGAATCAATGGCAACTCACAAACTAAACCGAATTTTCAGGTGACAACCAGATGCTAAATCTCAGAGGAGGAAAAAGACAATGCCCCTGTACAAAGTGGGCATAATGGGAGGAAAAGTTAGTTTGAATAACAATTTAACCAATGCCCATTTGAATGACTGATGCCTGCACTCTGGGCACATAAACACATTATCTCAGTTTTCAGTATCTATGAAGAGACTTTGGAATCTGTGTCACTAGTCAAAACTCCTGCCCTTCTGCTTAGTGATTTTTCTATCCCAGCTTTCCCACATTCCTTCTAACCTTTCACCTTTCTCCTGCAGGTTTTCCTTTTCAGCCAATAGTCACTCACTGGAACACTCAAAAACTGAAATAAGCCTACTCCACCCATGAAAATAACCTCTACCCATGTTACTAGTAACTCAAAGTGCATCATCTTAACAAGAACACAAAGCAGGCACAATGACATTCAAACGGATGGGATTCAAAAAACATTTCTTGCTCCGCTTTCATACTAATGAAATTTTCATGAGAATTTATATTTGTGGGAGGTGGACATGAATGTGATTGAACCGGTAGATGTTTTAGCCCAATAAAATGAAGAGGTGTGTCCTCGAAGACAGTGGCATAGGAAAAGACTTTATGAACAAAACGTCAGTAGCAGGGGAACTAGCACAAAGAATCAACAACTGGGATCTCATCTTATTAAAAAGCTTCTGCCCTGCAAGAGGAACCACCAACAGAGCTAAGAGACAATGTACAGTGTGGGAAAAAATTCTACCAGCTGTTCCTCCAAAAAAGATCTACTATCTAGAGTATACAAAGAACTCAAACAAATCAGATCCCTCAAATATAAAGACCCAATTCAAAAATGGGAATTTGAAATGAACAGACATTTCTCAGGCAAAGAAGCAAAAGCAACAAATAAACATATGAAAAAATGTTCAACATCACTGATCATTTGAGAGATGCAAATGAAAACAATACTGAGATTCCACTTCACCCGGAAAGAATGGCTGCTATCATGAAATCAACCAACAACAAATGCTGGTGGGGTTGTGGGGAGAAAGGAACCCTTCTCTATTGTTGGTGGGAGTGTAGACTGGTGCAACCACTGTGGAAATCAATACAAAGATACCTCAAAAAACTAGAATTAGAGGTCCCATTTTAGGGACCTAATCCTCTGCTGGGTATCTTCTCAAAAGAATTAAAAGACTCATACCATAGTGATATATGCACACCCATGTTTATAGCGGCACAGTTGGAAACAGCCCAACTGCCCGTCAACTGGAGACTGGATAAAGATGTGGCTTTTTTACAAAATGGAGTACTAATCAGCCATAGAGATATTTATAGCTAAATGGATGCACATTGAGGCCATACTCTTAAGTGAAATAAATAGGACACACATGTGTAAATACCAAATAGTTTCTCTAGTGTGACAAGCTAAAATAAGGATCAAAATGTATAACTGATAGTGTGAAATAGGAAGAAAAGGTCCAAAGGGGAAGGGGAAATGGGATAGATTGGGGAAAGGATTAAAGGGAATGGAATTAATATGAAAAAGTGAAAACAAAGTCTTTGTAAATAGGGAGGGTAGAGGGGTTGAAGGGAGGGCAACGGTATGGGGAAAAAGCAAGAACCAAGATAGATTATGTGAAGGTACAAATTTTCAGTGATGAATGTCATTACATTGTATACCTAAAATGTACCAACAAACTTAATATAAAAAAAGAAGAAAAGATGTGAGAAGAAACAGGCTAATGGGCACACATGAGGGAGAGCGCAGGCATGAAGAGTACCCATGTTCATTTCTCAAATTCATCTATTCTAGGCTCAACAATTTTAACTGCAATTTTGTAAAAAGCATATAGTGCATAAAATAACAGTACAGTGGAAGTTATAGGATGGAATCAGATCCAAAATCAAGATGAAGAATTTGGACAGAATTGTAGAGGGTTGAGGGAAGCACCTTCACTAAGACGAAAGAAGTAAGACTGAAGATATAAGGGGCTAATTCATGTCATATTTGTTGGATATCTGATGTATGCTGGACTCTGTTCTAGCAGTGTTAAACAAGACAAACCAATCCCCAGCCCATTCAGCAGCTTTTCTAAGGGCATGTTGAAAAAATGAAAGCAACATAACCTCCCAATCCAGTCAAAAAGACTCAAATGCTGTTAGGGCCTTCTAAACAGGATGCATTCACATAAAAATACTAATAAAGTACAAAGAATGTAAACCAAATTCTAACTTCCTCCATTTTATCATAACAACATAAGCTAATAGCACTTTCAGAAATAACTTTTTGTTAAAAAGAATTCAAGTATGTATAGTGATGAAAGAGCTCTGTACCTTGATTGTAGTGGTGATAAAATTGCGTGATAGTCTTCATAGACACACACACACACACACGCATGCATGCATGTAAAACTGGTGGAACCTGGAAAGGTCTGTGGATTAGTACCAGTGTTAATGTCTTGATTTGACATTGTTCTCAGGTGAGGTAAGGTGCTATCACTGGCAGAAACTGGGTGAAGGGTAAACAGAATCTTTCCAGACTATTTCTGCAACTCCCTATGTACCTAGAGCTATTTCAAAACAAAAAGGATCTTTAAAAAAGAAACTTAAGTTTCTTCTTTTTTCTGGTATGTTATTGTAACACACACACGCATGCATTCATGTAAAACTGGTGGAACCTGGAAAGGTCTGTGGATTAGTACCAGTGTTAATGTCTTGATTTGACATTGTTCTCAGGTGAGGTAAGGTGCTATCACTGGCAGAAACTGGGTGAAGGGTAAACAGAATCTTTCCAGACTATTTCTGCAACTCCCTATGTACCTAGAGCTATTTCAAAACAAAAAGGATCTTTAAAAAAGAAACTTAAGTTTCTTCTTTTTTCTGGTATGTTATTGTAACTGATCCACTCATGACAGAAATTGGTCTGATTCTGGGATCACTGTCAGACACATCCCTGTCTGGGCACATCCTTAGAAGGAGGAAGAGTAATCATCCAGCAACCTCGGCATCCTAGAAACCAAGACTCCTCCTTGGCAGCTCCTTTAACCAGCCCCAGAATGCCCATACCAGAAGCACACATAAAAAGCTATAGTAAACCCTGGACTCCAGCTCAGGAAATTCCTCCAGAGTGCCTCCCCATAGCCTGCTTGGAGCCTTCTCATACCTCACACATGGTTCTCAGTTTTCTTGGCTTCTCATTTTGGCTCCCTTGTTGCTTATGGCCCAGGATGGAGCTTGTCAGACTGTTGGCACTGACCTGAGACTTCATGATGCAGGATTTGGGCATCATCCCTCGGCTCCAAGTACTTGTGTATCTCTGAAAAAATCAGATTGAGACCATGTAATCTGGAGCCCAACAAAAGCTTTGGTGCCCCCGACCTAATCATCCACATTGATGAATATTCTTAACTTGTCTTTTTTCTGGTGGTATGCTCATCTCACAACAGCTAATAGAAGATGTGTTGTTCAGCTTTCCCATTGCCAATAAAAGGGAACAGATTTACTTAACTCATGGGTTCAGTACATGGTAAGCTGGCTCCAACACAAACAGCATGGAGGAAGAACTTGGCAGAAGAACACCACTCACCTCAGAGTGGCTGAAAGCAGATCAAGGGAACAGTGCCAGATAGCAAGGGACCAGGGACCATGCCCAAGGCCACACTCCCATTACCTACCCAGACACTGTCAGAAATACACTTTACCAATTCCTTAGGTGTCTCTCAAGCCAATCAAGTTGACAAATCAGCTTAACACCTTTTCAAGTGGGTTTGCTCATTGAAAGAGTGACCAGATAAATAAACCAACAATTACTTTCATAACTATTAACGTATCTCATGGTGAATGAATCAATTTCCACTCTGGTTTCAGCATAGGTTAAGTTAGCCTTTCTATAGAACGTAGGAGTTACAACTCCAGAGCCAGGGCTTCCTGGTTGAGATCCTCTACCCTCCCTAGATCCAAGACTTTGGATACTATCATTTACTTATTATGGACCTGGTGCAAAATAACTCACTTCTGAGGCCCTTTCTGTTTCCCCATCTGGGACTTAGCTCAGTGGCAATGCGCCTGCCTCACAAGTACAAGGTCTTGAGTTCAATCCCTGGTACTAGGAAAAAAAAAACCACCTAGCAAGTCTTCCCATCTGTAAAGTGGATATAATAACAAACCTGTGTCACAGGCCTATGGAGAGCATCAAGTGAATTAATATATCTAAAGCACATAGAGAAGTACCTGTATGCAGTAAGGGTTAAATATTATCACTGTCTGGAAATGGTAAAATAAATTTTGAAGTCAGTAAAGCCAAGTGGTAGACCCTGTACTTGTAAGGACTAAGTCACCCTTAAACACTGCCTCACTAGCAGACCCAAACAGAGAAATAAAGTAGCTTCGGACAAGTAGGTGGTCTACATAGTGAAAGTAATGGACAACGCTGCTTTGCCCTTTAAGTTCAAAACCACCTGGAAGGTGAGTCAAGACAGAAATAACCTGGTAGTTCAAACTTGTTCTCCTGCACTGATACACATAGAATAGGAATTGCAAAAACAATCCGTATCTGGGTGACTTTGGACATCTGTGAACCCTGAGTGCAGAGGTGGCTTAGTCTTGGGCCTGGAAGATTTGTTCTTGTCTTTGGGGCTCCCATGTGGGACAGGAAAAATAATCCAGAACCCAGGAACAAACTGTTTCAACAAGCAGTACAAATTCTGCTCAGTGAACATAGATTACAACAAACTGAAAAAAGATGATCCAGACTTCTAAATGAAATAAACAAAACTGTTTAGAATGAAGGCTTTCCAATGGTATCATCACAATTATCCTCTTCACTGGGAAATATTTCTCTTCTAAATACATGAGATTATGTTGATTTGTTGGAATTTATTACACTGGTTAATAAACCTCTGAAACACTGTATATGTCACTGTTTAATGCTGAAAATCTGCTGAGCAGTTAGGGTATGGGATATAAACTATTAGAATTTAAAAAGAAGAAAAGCCAGGCACAGTGGCACACACCTATAATTCCAGCACTCAGGAGGCTGAGAGAGGAGGATCACTGGGAGTTCAAGGCCAGCCTGGGCTGCACAGTGAGTTCAAGGCCAGTTTGAACTGCATAGTGAGATCCTGTCTCAAAAAAAAAAAAAAAAAAAAAAAAAAAAAAAAAAACCTACAACTAATGGACACTTTGCATAGAGTTAGAAATGATTATTCTACGCGCCATCTGAGGTACCAGAGGTACCAGATCAACCAACTTTTCAAGCAAGGGTGACTGAAGGAACCAAAAAAATAATGATTTTATTCAGTTAACTTTCCAGTTCAGTGAAGGATTCAGTTAACTTTGTGTTCAATCAAAAGTGTTAAAGATGGTTTGCTGCAATCACAGTCTTTATAAATTGCTCACTTGCCCCCACCTCAAAAATGGCATTTCATCCAGAAAAAGATGCAAGAGTCAGAGACTAGTTACTGCATTCATGAACTACCAATACAAACCTAAACAGATTTGTATGGAAAGAGGTTAGAATACCAACCTATACACCTGCTAGTATCATTACAATTATGGTTGCCTCAAAATGTAATTCTGGCCAAGTTGCATGAATAAGACACCCTGAAGACCAATCACAGCACAGTTAATAAGTACCAAATCAAAGCGAGTAATGGGGGTAATTAAGGCAGGGACCCCTGGTGGGGTGCTGCTTCCTAGTGATTGGCTTAAGTCAGCTGGCAAAGTGATTGCAGTTGTTGCTCTGGAGTGACATAAACATCTCTTGGTTTCCCTGTCCAGGAAGGAGTTACAAATACAAAATCCTACATCCATACTGTGCATAGATGTCAGAGGTTGGCAAAAAGAAATAAGAGATATGGAAGAACAAATGCACCCTAACAGAACTCTCCTAATTCCAACCCATGGAAGTGCTCTTAGCTTGGGGGTTTGGAGAATGGAGCTAGAATGCAAAAGTGCCAAATACAAATATGGTCAGTATTTGTTGGGAGTATCTTCTGTACTCTTCTAAGCCCTCTTTGCCTTAACTATTTTAACTCTCTAGCAGACTAGTGTTATTGGTTCAGTCTTACAGATGAGGGCACTGAGATTCAAAGAGATTAGGTAACTTACCAAAATCCACAGTGATTAAGTGGCAGAGCTGGGATATTTCAACCATACAGTATATCATTAGAATATACCTGAGTGCTCGTTATGAAATGAAATAGAACGTCCCTTAAATAAGGTCACGTGGGGCCAAATGATAACCCAAGAAACCCATGGGGTCTCCACCAGAGAATAGGGCTTGCATTTGTAGATAGAAAGGCATTTGGATCTGCAGTGCAAACTTCACTGACATCCTGTTTGTTCAGTTGTTTTCATTTTTTCTACTGTGGTAAGAAAACTTAACATGTCCCACCCTTTTAACAATTTTTAAGTGCACCATACATTACTGTTGACTATAGGTACAAAGTCATGCCACAGACCTTAGGGTTTATTCACCTTAACCGAACTTCTCTGCTTATTGATTAGTAACTCCCCATTTCCCTCTCTCCCCAGCCCCTGGAAACTACCATTCTATTCTTTCACTATATGAATTTGACTGTTTTAGATGCTTTGCATTAGTGGAATCCCACAATATTTATTTAACTTTGTCTTGCTTATTTTACTTAGCATAATGTCCTCAAGATTTATCCCTGTTGCTGCCTATTGTAGAATTTCCTTCTTAAGGGTGAATAGTGATCCATTGTATGCAAACCCCTACATTTTCTTTAACCATTCATCTCACAATGGACACTTCAGTTGTTTCCACATCTTGACAACTGTAAATAGTGCTGCAATGAACATGGGAGTGTAGATCTCTTCAATATCCTGGTTTTAATTCCTTTGGATAAGTACCCAGAAGTGGGATTGCTAGAAAATATGGTACTTCTTTATCTTTCTTGCTTGCTTTTTTTTTTTTGGAAGCAAAGTGTCTATTGGTATATTTTAGATATACATAATAACACTCATCATAGGAAATTTTCACCTATACATAATATACCCTGCCTTTTTTCCCCAGCCCCCTCCCATTGACTCCCCTCATCTCCCTATATACAAAAGCTCTGTTTCCATTTTGTCCTTTTATTTTCCCTTTTTTTCTTGTCCCTTCTACCTTAATTTTTTAAGGCACTCTATACCATCTTCCTTAGCAGCTGCACCATTCCATATTCCCACCTACAGCGCAGTGGGCTTCCAGGTGGTCGCCTGCCTTGCAAGCCCAAGGTCCCAAGTTTGATCCCCGGTACCAATAAATAAATAAATAAAATCTACAGCCTGAGATTGTAAAACTCCTAGAAGAAAATATGGGAGAAAAAGCATCATGTTATTAGTCTTGAAATAACTTCATAGATATGATACCAAAATGGGGTTACATCACACTAAAAATCTTCTGAACAGGAAAAAATACAATCAGCAGAGTAAAAAAGCAACCCAAGGAATGGGAGAAAATACTCATAAGCTATATATCTAATACGAAGTTAATCTCCAAAATCTATAATTCAGTAGTGGAAAAATAAAACAAAACCCTATTTAATAATGGGCTAACAGACTGGGATTTTAGCTCAGTGGTGGAGCACTTGCCTGGCATGCACAAAGCCCTCTGTTTGATCCCAGCACTGAAGAGGGGAAAAAAAAAAGGCAAACGTAGTGTAAAGACTTAAACAGACATTTCTCCAATGACCTCTTTATAAGACTGGGGAAGGAGGGAAAATTAATGCTATGAACAAACACTCACCTTGTGTCATTCTCCTTTTTGAGTGCCTTGGCAAGGCCTTTTCAGGCTGACCACATCCTATGGGGGTTCCTACAAGGCTTAGCAAACACTATAAAGCTGGTGGTTGTGTAAGAAATGTCAACCTTACAAATCAACAATTATGAAATGCAACCCCATGCTACTGCAGCCCTGCCAAACCCTGTGGACTGTGTGAGTGCTTCTAGCACCTGAGCATCCCAGGCCCAGGAAGTGGACACAGGAGGTGGCCACCTCTCGGCTTCTGAGAGATGTGGAGGGAGGTAAAGGATGAAAAACCCTCCAGAAAGAAAACCTTTCACAGGAAAAATTGCACAGAAAAGAAAACATTTCATCAAAATGAAAAGATATAGCCACCTGAAAAGCAGAAGTAATTATAATTTGTTAGAAATAAAATAATTAGTCTGGCCGCAGAGACCCAGCAATAAAGTATGTATTTCATGGAACAGTCAAAACTGGGCAAAGATCAGAAAAATAACCAGAAGAGATGAGTGGAGTTATATCAAGAAAGAACAAATATATTTTTAAAACTCATCAGCTGTGGTTAAAAA